TGTAGTATTGAATATTCATATTCATAATGTTGAATGAATGCTGAGCTTTACTATTTTTACTCCATTACTAAAGCTATACTGTACTTTAATTCTATGCATCTTACTTTGTGGGCTAATGGGGCAATTAAGAAAATACCTGATACAATGGGAATATAGACCTACAGATGAACAGGACATGGAAAAGTTACTCCTTTGGACAACAAATTTCTGAATCCATTCGTTTGTTCGTTCATTTAGTCATGTCCGACTCTTCGTGACCCCATGAACCAGAGCACGCCAGGCCCTCCTATCCTCCACTGCCTCCCGTAGTTGTGTCAATTTCATTAGCTGGGGCCAATCCATCTGGTGAATTCTGGGAGTTCCAAAAAGTAGAATTTTTCCAAGGTCTGCAAACTGGACATTGCAAGATGTACCATTTTGCAAAAGAATTTATAATATATGCAAATGGTGCCCCCAAAACATGAAACAGACTCAAAATAAAGTTAAAAATGAAGAGTTCGGAAATTAGATTAGTGGAGGGAGAATTCCTTGTCTGGGGCTGTGAGATGGAAAGCTAGAGAAAGAAGCCTCTCGCTGGAGTGCTGTTCCTTCCACCAACTACAGAAAGGGAGATACAGACCTCGCCCACTCCATCCCATTGTAAAAGAACAGAGGGGTACCGATACCTGTGATCTAGAATTTAAAATGCATGGGTTAACAATAGCCATTCAAATTGAGGACCATTTGGCAGGAAGGGGTAGGAAAAAGAGGGCAAAGTTTGAGGTGGGGATGGCAGAGATAAAAAGGGAGAGAGGATTGCCTCCAGGTTGGGAGAGGATCTGGACACAAGATCCTTCCACCAGAGAGCGGAAACGACCCCGGGTGCCCAGAGAAGTGGTGGACTACCGCTGGAGATGGGAGATTGCCCCGCGCCCTTCTTACTAGGGCGAAGCCGAGGCTCGTGAGTGGCGGAGGTGATTAAGAGAGGAAAAGGAAAAGGTAGAAAGGGAAAAAAGAGGAAAGATTGAGATGGAGAGTGGAGGAGGGATTCCCAAGCAGACCCTGGACCTTATTCCCTGACACCCAGGATGCTGAGTGGGTTGTAACCAGTGAGGACAAGACCATTCCCTCACTGGAAGGAGAGGACATTGAGATAGTAAAAGATGATCCTCTCCGCAGATGGCCAGGCCCCTGGAATCCAGAAAAAACGAACCCGTTCCTGAATGAAGATGCCCGTTGGACCTGCTGGCGGCATGAGAAGTGTTATGAGACAATTTTATAGACAAAAAGTTCTTGTTAAATACTCCAATAAACCTTTTCCCTTTTGCAAAGTTACCAAACTCTAAGGATGTTTTTGTGGAGACCCAGATTCAAAAACCAGAACCCTCACATATTGGCGCCCAACCGGGGGGGGGGGGCTCCACAACTAGACACTCACCTGGATGACTGGATCCGGAAAGTAACAGAAGGAGAGGAAACGCTCATAAAACAATTAGCAGAATAACAAAGACTTTTAATAAACCAGTTGATAAATACCACATCACGCCTCCGCCACTCATAGACAAAAACCAGCCAAAAATGTTGATAGCAAACCACCCACCAATAACGATACAAAAAATGGGACCGCATGATGACCCAGCTACATTCCTTAACACCTTTGAAAGGGTAGCCAAGTCAGCACAATGGCCACAAGAGCAGTGGACTCTAATACTTACCCCATATCTTACTGGATTGCCACAAGAAATTGTGGACACGCTGGACCCAGCAGAAGCAGGCAATTATACGATCGGCAAGACAGCAATCCTGAATATACTCAACCTCAACGAAGAAGCATATAGACGATGCTTTAGAGACCTGAGGTTACGCCCAGGGATCCACCCGAGAACCCTTGCGCAGAAAATGAGAGTCAATGCCACGAGGTGGGTGAAGCCCAAAGGCAAAATAATGTAACAGGTCCTAGAACTAATAATTATGGAACAGCTGATTTCGACTCTGGGAGCGGAACCCAGAAACTGGGTAATGAGGAACAAACCCGCCACACTAGAGGGCGTTGTGACTTTACTGAAAGAGTACTGAAACAATAGTGCTTTTAATAATTAACATTCAACCCTTCACCGTGCTTTTATTATGTTATTTCTTAATGTATTTTGATTTTTTAAAGTTGCTCTTATAATTTGTTTGCTTGTTACTAGTTGTTTTTTATGTTATTGCTTTCATTATTGCTTTTGTAAACCGCTCAGAGTGGCCTTGGTAGCCATATGGGCAGTAAAAAAATCAAATAAATAAATACAAAGGTGGTGTTGACGTGAGGGATTTGGTGTCTGGGACCACAGGCTAAACTTCCTGGAAGATGGACTGCTAACACAAGATGGCTTGCACCTCACAGGGACTGGGAAGAATGTGTTTGGCTACAGCATGAATAACTTCATCAGGATGCCTTTAAACTGAAATGGAAGTGGAAAGGAAACACAAGCACAGAGGTAAAGATAGATGAAGCCTTACACACAATAACAGTAGTTCCCTCTGCTTCCTACATAGGACAAACAAAACAATTTCTGTATACAATAATGAATGGATACAAATCTGGTATCAGGAACTGAAGCAGAGAAACCAGCTCCCTAAGATACACTCCAAGACAAGGATAGTTGATACCTTTATTGTTGCTCCTTGTTATGAGGTCTCAAGTCACTTTCAACTTATGGTGACTGTATGAATGAGCAATCTCCACAATGTTATGTCCTCAACAGCCCTGCTTAGTTCTTGAAAACTCCTTTAGTGAGTCAATCCATCTCATATTTGGTCTTTCTCTTTTCCTGCTGCCAGTATTGTTGTTTCCAGTGAACCCTGCCCAAAGTAGGACATCCACAGTTTCACCTTTTTTGTTGTTGCCAGAGATAGTTCAGGCTTGATTGGGTTTAAGACCCACTTGTTCATCTTTTTGGCAGTCCAGGGTATCCACAAAGCTCTCCTCCTTCATATGAATCATTGAAATAAACCACACACACCTTTATTAGACTACTAAAAAATTAGAAACAGAAGCTAGCTTTCAATTTGTGTAGGTCTTCATCAGACTGGGCATAACACTGCTGGGGATAGTGGAGAAAACTCAAAAGTTCCAATATTAATAGACAGATATACAGCCCAGTTTCCTTTGTAAGTAATAAATTTCAACTGAGGTCTGCTGACTCAAGTCAGGGGTGCAGGTTCAGTTTTCACCTCTGCTGGTATAGAGAGGAACTGGAATTTCCCCAATCCTGCTCGACAAAAGAGTTGCCAATCTTTCACCATATCCTATAGTGAAATACAAGGTTCCTTTTTTGAATAGGGATGGGGGAACACTAAAATGGGGCAAATTCTGTATCAGAGATGTTCAAGTAAAATTTATTTTACCCACTAGCTGAGCCAATTGCAGGCAGATTAGCAATATTTTTAGTGATCTATAAAAGTAACTGAAGACAGGAGGGCCTGGTGTACTCTGGTCCATGGGGTCATGAAGAGTTGGACACAACAACAAAGTAACTGCTACCATCAACTTGGATTGTTTATACCCATTCCCTTTTTTGTTGAACTGTGGAAGGTATCTTGAAGTATCGCCTATCATCAAACATGGATATTTAGCACCACCCAAATGGGCCTGCAGATTCAGGACATCATCCCCCATTTGGTAATACTATTAATCTGGCTGCAATTGGGCCATCTAGTGGGTAAATAAATTTTGCCTCAACTTATCTGATATGGGGTTTGCCCCATTTCTGTACATCCACATTCCCAGCCAAAAAAGGAAACTTGTGTTTCAATATAGGGTGATGTGGGGGGAGGGAATATATACTGTACTGAAGAACTGGCAGCTCTCTGTCTAGGAGGATTCTGGACTGTAGCAGAGGTGAAATCTGACCTATATTTGAGTCTGCAGTCCTATTTTGAAAATCCTTCTAACAAGGGAAACTGGTCTGCACATTTGGCCATGATTCTGGGTTGAAAGTCAACTTCTGTTTCTAGTTTTCTAGTGGTCTAATAAAGGTATGGTATCCCCCCCCCCCCCCCGCACACACACACCTTTGGATTGTGTTCAAGGGCCACGTGGCTTTTCCCTTTTTCTTTTCAGGACATTTCAATGATTGTTGAATAACACAATTACAAACGGAGACTTGAGAAGGAGAATGCAGAAATTGGGTACATAAACAAGCTCCATGCATCTCTTAAAGGCTTCAATAGACATCAAGGTCTCTTAGCACACGACATCGATAATAACCCAGTTTTCTGTAATATTTTGAGTGTATAAAATAGTTGCCTCCCTTCACAGATTCTGACCTTTATCCTATAAACAACACTGAGCGTTACTGTGACAGCCAAGTCTATCTAGCAAAACCACTCTTCCTGGGGCCTCCAACTTCAAGTAACAGCTTGATCGTGAACCACCACGGGGATATGTAAAAATCCAGAGAACACAGTCTCTGCTCTCCTCCTTTCGGAAAAAAAAAAGAATTTTGATCTTCCAAAGCTCGCTCCGAAATAAACCTTTTAGTCTCGAAAGTGCTACAAAGGTTTGCCTTTCCTCCCATCATCTTCTCCTCTCCCCCTCCAGTTCTGCCCACACGGCTGCACCGGACGAACAGGGCTCCTTATTTAGAACATCAGTTTGAAGGCCCGGCTCCGCGGCTCGCTCTTCCGCCTCCGCCGAAGGGGGCGCGGCCCTTTTAACAGCGGCGTGATGTCAGCCACGGCCAGCCTGCCCTCCGCGGTTCGAGACGATTTCCCGCGCCCATCCGGCTGCCCCCTCTGCCCTGCAGCGCTGAAGCGCCGCACTGGAGTCTCTGCCAAGGCAGGAGCCGGCACCCTCAACCTTTGGTCTAAGCCTCCGGCGGCGGCGGAGGAGGAGACACCGCCCTGCAGCGCGATCCGACAGAGACACTTTCCCTGCGGGCGCTCTGCCTGGGTTGCCTCCCTCCCCGCCTCCACCCGGCTTTCAGTGCACAAAATCAAGTCCCGAGTCACAGATTGCCGGGCAGATCGAGGTAATCGTCTCTCCTGCGCCTCTTTCCTCGGCAAGCGGCGTCCTGCACGCACCAGGGTGCCAGCCGGGCAGCGTTGGGAGGAACGTGTGCATGTGTACGTGCAGCACCAGGTACCCATCATCCCCCTCCCCCCGCTGGCAGGACTCCTCTTCCCTTCACTGCGTTTATCCGCCCTTCTTCACTGTTGGAGGAGGCGGGAGCGGCAATGAAAGATAAGAGGAGATTGGTAGCGTGGGCAACATCGGTCATCTCTGAGTTTACTTGCGAGTAAGCGGCCTTACTCGCAAGAGGAACAAATGCTCCGGCCAGATATCCTTTTTCAGACTTTCCTGCCCCCTCGGCTTGGTGGCTGCTGCATCTCCTTCCTCCTCCTCCTCCTCCTCCTCCTCGGCTCAGCCGCCGAAGGCGCGGAAGGTTGCGGAGAGAGAATCGGTCCCGCCGCCATCCCCCGGCCCTTTATTGCTCTTTACCAGGAAGCCTGGAAAGTGACTAGTGGAGGCTTGATTCATGTTAACGAACTGCTTCTAGCAAAAGCAGGAGTTTTGTGAAGATTTCAGGCATTAATTGCCCATTTAAAACCAAGCTACCCAAATGATTTTGCTTTGGAGCAGGAGTAACCTCCAACGGTATATTTTTCCAAAGAGAATTTATTCTCCGGCCCCAATTACTGTAGGATTGTAGCTGAACTCCCTCAGGAAAGACTGCGGGAGAGGCTGATTGGTGCCATTGGCTTTCTGAATTAAAACATCTCATGCGGCCAGTCCCCTACAGTCCTGCTGGGCTGATTCTTGAGCGAGATAGCAAGACATCCCAAATGTACCTGTTCCAGGCACTGCAGGAACACCAGCTTAAGCCCTGGTACTCTCAAGAAAACAAAACAAAAGAAATGACTGCATTTGTGTGCACACACACTCAAGAACACACTTTGATCACTGCTATTTACAACGAAGTGTGCATTTTGTTCTTAACATCCTTCAGGTCAGAACCTGCCTTTCAAGCTGTGGTGGCCCTTAATCCAGGCGTCCACTCACTGCCTGGTTCAGTTTGAATGTTACAACTTGTTTGCAACAGCCTTTGGATTGTTTAGATTACCTATTTTCTTAAACAAATAACACTCGAAACCATCTTGAGAACCAAAATGTGCATGGTGTGGGAGAACTGTGATGGGATTCTCAATGTCCTGATTGAAATAAAAATGAAATAGACGCAATACTTGGATGATTCAGAATCTTAACGGAGCAATACCCTTGAGAGTAGATTTTTCTCTCCTGCCCTTCGCTTGGTCTAAACAAATTTCTTCACCTGCCTCCAGGTGCTATTGGCCTGGCAGTAAAACACAAATGAAAAATGTAAGAGATTTGTTCCCTGACCTGCCCATTGCAAGTGACTTGACTGGTTGTTCCTCAAACAAGCCATGTCTGAAACTGCATTTTTAAAAAGAATTCTGCCAGTTTGCTGTAGTAGCTGTGCTGACAGAGTAGGACTAAAAAGCCCATGGTCAAATTCAGTATTCCTATTCAGTGTTGAAGCTCACTGGGTGGCTTTGGCTCACAGTAAAATACCTCACAAGGCTGTTGTGAGGGTAAAATAGAGACAAAGTCTTGGAATTGCATTGAGCTTCCTAGGATTGTTGAGGTGATATTAGAGAACTAAATTGCTGAGTAAATCAATAAAATAAATCAATAAATCACTGGTTGAAAATGGTGTATGGTTTAAATTAGGGGAAAGGATAAGACATCTGTTTCTCTGCAAATCAATAGCTTCCTGAGTGAAAGAAAAACGCAAGTAGATCTGGCCATGAATCTTGTGTATCACATGCAGTTTAATCTCTAGCATGTCTCTTTGTGGAAAGTTCCTATGCCCACTTTCTGGGTATTTTAGTAACATTAAAAATAGCAGTTTCCACAGATTCTGGGTTGAGCCCAAACTGTTGGAGGTTTTCCTTCAACTGTCTAATTTCAGTTCTCTTGAGGTACTGTATTTAAATTTACATTTAGTGTTATGTACCATGATCAGAGCAAAGCAGACTACTGTTGTGTCACATGTGTCAGTGTATGTGTTTGTCACAAATCCCTTAGAGTACAATGGGACTTACTCCTTAGTAAATGTCTAGCTTTGGAGCCTCAAATAAATTTCACAGTTTTGGTTTTAGGAATAGACATTCCACTTTTCATCATTCCATTTGTTTGCATGTTAAATTACATATCATTCTCACCAAACTTATAAGAATTACTGTCAGCAAGGCTGCCCTGTAGAATCCTGAAAAGCCAGGACACTATTTGTAGAGCTGGCCAAGTTCCTGTAGGCAAGATGTGCTAAAAGAAAGGGGACCACTACGAAAATGCCTTTGTGCCTTTGTGCCCCTCTGCATTATTGGCACAGGAAGCTATTCCATCCTAAACTCAGCTTGGAAGCTGGGGGAATTGCTCTGCAGAGCTGTGTTGTCGATAAATAGTTGGCCTCAGATTGAAGGATGCAATGGCAAGCACAATAACAAGAAGCAGTGCTGAAGGGCCTGCATCTATGCATAGCACAGGCTTGCTTTTCCAAACTCAGCAAGGGAATGCAAACAGCAACTTGTTTATTTAAAAATATACCTCCTCAACATAAATCACACCTCTTTTAATGATATGCTTTCATTAAAGAGAACTGGCTTGTGCAATATTTGTTTATTACTCAATTCTGACTTTGGGTGTCAACTGAACTTTAATAATAATCAATATTTACCAATTAAAAATTGAACATTCCCAAGCTGGGTTCATTCGTTTTGCTATTTCTGTTCTTCAGAACTCAGATTTTCCAATCCCTTGAATTGTTGTGTTGCACCATCTATCAATCTGGCTGATGCCAAATGTACTTATAGATTAATCTCTTCACACTGCAGTGGGCTTTGTGCCACCTGCTGAATGTAACGGTTCATGATTCCGTGTAAATCAGCTTTAAATGTGTTTATTTTAAAATCAATATTTGTGTGGGCCTGCAAAATTTGTGGTTATTTCTGAAAGAAGCTTTCTGGGAAATAATATGTTTGTGGTATAATTTAAAGCTAATGAAATGTTAATAAGTGAGACTTATGAAGTGTAATTTTTGTTTGTTTAATTTCAGTTCTAAAAGCACGACACTAATCAGCTGCTATGGAACATGTGTTTACTCCATTGGAATGTCTGCTTCCCACTGGTACTGTATCTACCACTTACATTTCTTTAAAGAATATGGCTCTTGTGTGTACTGCACAGGGCTACATTAATATTCTATAGGGCGGTGGAGTTTGTAATAGTGGTATGGTGTGTGGTGTGAGAGATAACTGTGCTAGCCGGTCATAGCAAATACAGCAACAGAAAATCTAGCAATGTTCCAAGATTAACAGGTTTATTTGATATAAGCTCTTGTGGACTTTACCCCACTGCTGACACCTTTGAGGATGTGGATTTGAGCCATGAGCCAAATTTAAAGTGGCCAAGAGGATGATGGTGGTGTCTCTCCCTTACCTCATTCTTGTCAGGGCCTGAACATTCCTCATTGAGTTGTATTGTGGAACAGAGCCAACTGAAATATATGTGAAGATTCTTTGTGTTTCTAACAGAGCTTGGGACCTGACCTCTGCCCATGGAGGCCTGCTTTCACTTGAACCTGCCCCATGACCAGAACTTGGGAAAATTAATTTTTTAGACAGCCACTCCCAGGCTTGGGAGTTGTGGGAGTCATTGTTCAAAAAGAACGTTTTAAAACTGTACCCATAAGGAATATTCCACATCTTTTTTCCTTCATGTGCCCATAAATAACATCATGGCACAGGCTTGCATTTCCCAACCCAGTATGTAACCTATAAGATTTTTTTCAACTGCAGATTCTTCTCTTTGTGATAGGCTCACCTGGTATTGACCTTAATGACTTGCAGCTTAATAACATAATCTTATTGATATTAGGTTTCATATTGGGTAATGCAGAATTAACTGTCTTTTGCTACATCTGCCCCTCACAGGGAATTTTTGGGTACCCCTAAGATTCTCCAGAAATAGAGTTGAAAATTGGCAATGAACCAGTTTCACAGCCATTTCTTTAACTTTCTCAGGGATTTTTTTATACTGTTAAGTGAACTTATTTAATTGTTTTGTATTGTTTATTGCCTGTATTATACCATACAATTGCTTTCCATACTTTAACTGACAATTTTATGAGCAAGTCTTCAATTGGAAGGTTTACTTTCTTGTAATGTGATTTATTTTGGATTATTTGGTCACTGGTTGGTTGTTATTGCATCTCTTGATGGGCTGAGATTGTTTAGACATCAGAGGAAATGCAGGATCTCCTTCTTTTGAAGAGTCAGGCAGCTTCTGAGCTTCTATGCACATCACTGCCAACCAAGGTTCCTTCTAAGGTGTGTGTGTAACTCCAGCTCCTCCTGCACAGCTTTCCTCCTCCTCCACACAGCGATTGTTTTCTGCCCCATTTTCTCCTAACTTTCCGTGTGGGGAGAGAGGCAGACTCGTGTGCAAACACAAGGGTGAAGTTGTGTGTGCAAGAGGCAGAGCCCCACCCAGCGGGGCTGAAAATCAGAGCATATGTTGGTCTCCTAAACTTAGGTTTCAGCTGGCAAGCCAGCCTTTGGGTGCCCTTCCTTCACTGTCCCAACCATTTTCTTCCTGTTGACAAAATAACTACTTCTGTTAATTTGACAAGGAAATGTGAAGATTGAACAGGACATCAATAAGATCTTGAAAGTATCAGCTTTCACTCTTGATGCAGGACTTGATGCCCTCCAGTGCATGTACCCAAACAGCCTCAGTGCTGGTCGTGAGGCAGTTATGGCTTAAGCACTGGCAAGGTGATAGGAGAGGCAAAAATAATCTGACCTTTGCCACCTTGGAGCGAGGCAGAAGTTATTTGGAGAATCCTTAAGTCCAAAGACAAAAAGTAAGCCCTGCCACCAGGGTGTAGGAAAGAGAAGAAAAAGTACTACAGGCCAGCCAGCTCTTCTTTCTGCTATGGGAAGTTGGGGATGGTCGCTTTACTTCAGTGTTCCCCAACCTTGGGCCTCCAGATGTTATTGGACTACAACTCCCAGAAGCCTTCACCACCACCTCTTCTGGTCAGGATTTCTGGAAGTTGAAGTCCAAGAACATCTGGAGGCCAAAGATTGGGGACCACTGCTTTAGTGGAGTGAACTCAAATCCCTCATCAGACTTCAGCACAAGCCATCCCAAGCAGGATGCCAAATGCTTATAGGTAGGTGGGGGCTGTCATTCCCCCAGTGGTTCAGGTTACTTGCTATATGTCCTAGGTTTTTTTTTTTGACAGTACATAGGTAAAGTGTCTTTTTGAAAGGTGCTAGTAGTAGGAGACATCCTGCTGTACCTTTCCTGGAGGAACAGAGGTTAGCTGTTCTTCTCAACTTGGGAAGGGAGCAGCAGTTTGTATGCAATTCCTTTTTCGGCAATTGCATGCCTTCTAAGCTTAATAGTTTCTGACATGGTGAATCTATAGAAAGGTTGGATTACCATTAAAATGAGGATTCTTATTTAAAACTTTTAATTGGAGTAATTTTTCTTCAAAATGCTTAATTTTCTCTCCCCCCCCCTCCCGCTGGGTCCAATGAGAATTAAACAAGTTGGCAGTGTGAGTTGTCCATTGTAATGCTTGAGGTCTTTTAACTGAAAAGCATTTAAAACAATTTATTTTAAAGTTGCTGTTACTTTATTTTGTAGAGGCAATAATACACTTCATTTAATGCAGTTATTCCACCTTTCGGAGCCTTTTAGGTCGCTGGAATGCTCATTTGTGGATCTTTTTTCCTCCTAGTGCCTGTATGGGTGTTTGACTTAACTAAGTACCGTATACTAATGTAAGTTTATAGTTTGCTCGGTGCACAAGATGGAAAACAGTTTTTTTCCTTATATATGAATGAATCCATAGTATCCAAAGTCTGAATGTGTGTGTCTGTTCAAATTCTCAGATTCTCACCAAACAACAGGCACCATTAATTACTTCTTTTAACAGACTAACTCATGGACGGGCAGCCTAATTATGCTCATGCTGCAAAGAAAGAGGAAGTAGGGAAAGTAGGGGCTTGTGGCACACCTGTAGGGGTTGTTTTGGCACAGAACCAGCCTGCTCTACGTGCTTATTGTTTGTTCCTTAGCTCTATAGACAGCGCACTCCTTCTGGAAATGAAGGATTGACTGGCTGCATGCTTTTGCTCAAGAATTGCCCAAGTGTACTTGCAATGCTTTTCCATTCTTCGGAGATGCTCTTTCTATTTCCCCTACCAAGTGCACAAAAGAAGATCTAGCAAATGGCTGTGATAATGCTATTGAAGTAGCCATTTTCTGGCCAAAAATAGTCTTATTATCCTACCATTTAATTTTTTTTTAAATGTTACCTTTATTTTATGTATGCCTGTAATTTTAAATTGCACAGTGCTCTGATATGAATAAAGAAAGAGGCTAAATTGATGAGAGGAAAATCTCTAGGGGGTGATATCTTATACTTTGAGCATGATTTTCTGACATGTTTGCAAGAAAGCTTGTCTGCCACTGGATTTGTGTTATATGAGGATGAGAGGCCAGTAGGCTCTGATTTCACAATGGGTGAGCACAGGTGTCACAGACCCCCTACAGTTAATGTAGCTACTTTAATGGCACAGAGGACGTGGGCCCAACAAACTAAAAAGCTCCCAGGTCCATGTCACATAGGGTAGCTTGAGAGCACCTTAATACAGATCCCAAAATGGCTATTCTGGGACAGCTATTCTGACTTATTTTAGCCACCACTTCTTCCTAGGAGCTTGTATTCTCTCTTTCCCTCACATCCTCAAAACATTCCTTTGTGGTAAGATAGGCTGACTGAGCGATACTGATTATGTGTCCCCCTGGTTCTAGTCTGATACTCTACTCAATCCTAGTGCTGATTGGCATTCTAGAAAGTATTGTTCCTAGATAACTTCATTCATTCCTGGTTACAATCTTTGTGCCATTAGCTTTTGAATGACAAACTATGATTGGTGATTAATTCAGTAATTTCATAGGTTTTTGATGAAATAGACAAAAGGGTTTTTGGAATGTATGGATTATCTTGATCCATTTCAATCTAGCTAAATCAATGGGGATTTAGTGAATAAATCTGTAAATTCCATTGAATCAAATGGTATTCTCATGATTTACTATGCTAAAGCAATGACTTGATATGCTAGCAATCATTCCCAATGGGGACCTCTGGGAGGTCCTGGCACAAAGGTTCCTTCTAAGGTGTGCAGCTGCATGCAACTCTGCCCCCTCTGTGCAGCTTTCCTCTTCCTCCACACACCCACAGTGAGCATTTCCAACCCTTTTCAAGGGAACCTTGCATGGGGGGGGGCAGAGCTGAAAATTAGAGGGAACATTGCCTGGTACATATGAAAGGAGCTACGGACTGGAAACAATTCTGCACATATCACCTTATAGAGTTTGTTATGTGACTTGCATAATCCTGATTTGCCATATATTTCTTTCATATAGTGTTTATGGCTGTGGCCAAAAAAGACTAAGAATGGATTTGCTAAACCATGGTTTACTTACTTTAGCATTGTAAACTGCAGTGAAAGTAGGTCTATTTGAATCAGTGGATCTTACAGAGGAGCTGACTCATTAAAGTCCCTTTGATTCAATGGACATATTTTAGTGTGATTTACTAAGCTAAGCAACAGGATTCTGGCCTTTGTTTTGCAGTGGTTCTTGCCCTTCTTAAAGGGGCAAGCTCAGAGAGTGCTGGTAAGGGATTGCTGTTTAATGTCCTGACCACTGGGCTCTCTTCTGCCGTCTTGCTATTTAATATATTCATGAAACCACTTTGTCATTTGGCATCATCAGTATGCTGATGACCCCAAAATCTATTTTTTCTTTTCATGAAGGGAAGCTGCTTCAGTCCTAAACCAGTGTGTAGTGTTAGTAGTGGACTGTAGTGAGGGTAAAGAACCTGAAGCTTAGTCCAGACAAGAGAGAGGTGCTTTTGCTCAGTCAAAAGGCAGATCAGGGAATAGGGCTCCAACCTTTGCTGAATAGGGTTAAATTTTTCTGGAAAACTCAGTTGTCAACTTGGTTAGGCACTTGGATTCATCTTTGAAACTTGAATTCTTAGGTCTGGGTGGTGGCTAGAGCATATGTACAAAATTAAAACTTTGTACCAACTGTGTCTGTTCCTTA